ACAAAAAAATCCTTAGATCCTCAAACACAAAAATCCTCAAATCTTGAGAAGATCAAAATCTCTAAATCCTCAAAACAGCAAAATCGTTAAATCCTCAAAATAACAAAGTATTCCTATTCTCAAAACACCAAAATCTTAAAATTCTCAAATTCTCAAAACATCAAAATCTTAAAATCCTCAAATTCTCAAAACACCAAAATCCTCAATTCATCAAAATATGAAAATCTTCAAATCCTCAAGATACTAATATCCTCAAATTTTCAAAACACCAAAATCCTCAAATTCTCAAAATGTTCGAATCGTCAATTCCTCAAAACAGCAAAATTCTCAAATCGTCAAAACACCAAAATCCTCAAATTCTCGAAACATCAAAATTCTCATATCCTTAAAACAAAATATCAAAATCTCCAAATCCTCAAAACAGCTAAATTCTCAAATCCTCAAAACACCAAAATCCTCAAATCCTCAAAAGATCAAAATATCCAAATCCTCAAATCAGCAAAATCCACAAATCCTCAAAACACCAAAATCGTTAAATCTTCAAAACTCCAGAAACTTCAAGGGCTCAAAATACCAAAGTCTTTAAATCCTCAAAACAGCAAACTTCTCAAATCCTCAAAATAGCAAAATCCACAAGTACTCGAAACAGTAAAATCTTCAAATTCTCGTAACGTCAAAATTCTCATAGCTTCAAAACATCAAATTCTTAAAATCCTTAAAATATCAAAGTTCTGTTATCCTCGAAAACAACAAAATACTCGAAATAGCAAAAGCCTCAAATCCTTAAAACTCCAGAATCCTCAAATGCTCAAAACACCAAAATCTTCAAATCCTGAAAACAATAAAATCCTCAGACCTTCAAATACGAAAATCCTCAAATCCTCAAAAGATCAAAATCTCCAAATCCTCAAAACAGCTAAATTCTCAAATCCTCAAAACACCAAAGTCCTCAAATCCTCAAAAGATCAAAATATCCAAATACTCAAATCTGCAAAATCCACAAATCCTCAAAACACCAAAATCGTTAAATTCTCAAAATAATAAAATATTTCTATTCCCAAAACACTAAAATCTTAAAATCCTCAAATTCTCAAAACACCAAAATCCTCAATTCATCAAAACACGAAAATCCTCAAATCTTCAAGACACTAATATCCTCAAATTTTCTAAACACCAAAATCCTCAAATTCTCAAAATGTTCGAATCCTCAAATCCTCAAAACAGCAAAATCTCCAAGTTCTGAAAAACATCAAAATCCTCAAATTCTCGAAACATCAAAATTCTCATATCCTTAAAAACACCAAAATCTCAAAATCCTTAAAACATTGAAATCCTCGAATTCTCAAAATACCAAAATTCTCCAATCATCAAAACACGAAAATCCTCAAATCCTCACATACCAAAATCTTCAAATCCTCAAAACTCCAGAATCCTCAAAACTCTAGAATCCTCAATTGCTCAAATTATCAAAGTCTTCAAGTCCTCAAAACAGCAAAATCCTCAGATGCTCAAAACACCAAAATCTACAAAATCTTCAAAACTCCAGATCCTTCAAGTGCTTAAAATACCAAAGTCTTTAATTCCTCAAAACAACAAACTTCTCAAATCTTAAAAACAGCAAAATCCACAAGTACCCGAAACAGTAAAATCTTCAAATTCATCTTAAAATCCTTAAAATATCAAAGTTCTCATATCCTTAAAATACTCGAAACAGCAAAAGCCTCAAATGCTCAAAACACCAAAATCTGCAAATCCTGAAAAGAACAAAATCCTCAGATCCTCAAACACGAAAATCCACAAATCCTCAAAAGATCAAAATCTCCAAATCCTCAAAACAGCAAAATTCTCAAATCCTCAAAACACCAAAATCCTTAAATTCTCAAAAGATCAAAATATCCAAATCCTCAAATCAGCAAAATCCGCAAATCCTCAAAACACCAAAATCGTTAAATTCTCAAAATAACAAAATATTTTTTTTCTCAGAACACTAAAATCTTAAAATCCTCGAATTCTCAAAACACCAAAATCCTCAATTCTTTCCTGTTTAACTTTAACTGGGATTTTATTAGTAGCGATAATGACATATGTGATATTGTAGATGACTTTTACCAGTGTTTGTATTTCATTTGTGATAATTTTATACCAATCCGGAAATCTAAAAGTAAAAATTTTCCCTCTTGGTTTAGCCATGAAACTAGAAAGTTAGTGATTGAGAAGAACAAATTACATCGTCGTTATAAAATAAGCCGTGATATCAGAGACTATTATAATTTCAGTTTAATTAGAGCCAAATGTAAACAAGAAATCGCTTGCTGTTACAACAAATTTATTAAGAACACCGAATCTCAAATCAACTCTAACCCAAAACATTTTTGGAATTTTATTAAGAGTGTAAAAAACAGTTGCGACTTTTCAAATACAATGATTTATAAAAGTATTGATGTTTGCGGGTTTCAAAACATAGTTGATACGTTTGCCAGTTTTTTTTCTTCCGTATATACTAATAATACCAGCAGTAGTAGTAATTTTAACTATCCTTACACAATTGACTCATTTGTTGACATCAGCTCTGTGCATATCACGGAAGATTTGGTAGCAAGAGAACTTAATGCTCTAAACTTAAACAAGGGTGCTGGGCCAGATGAGTTACCTCCAACATTTTTTTATAACTGCAGAGATTCATTGGTTATACCACTAACACGAATTTTCTCTATTTCAATAAGTTCGGGAAAATTTCCTGACTTGTGGAAATCTGCACGTGTGGTACCAATCTTTAAATCTGGCAATAAGCAAGACATTGAAAACTATCGACCGATTAGTATAATTTCAGTTCTATCGAAAATCTTTGAAAACATTGTGTCCAGTTTCATAAGTGATTCTTTTAGAAACGTAATCAGTGTGTCACAACATGGTTTTTGTTCTGGTAGATCAACTGAATCTAATCTCTTTGTATACATAAATGATATTTTTAATGCAATTGAGGACGGTTCGGAAATTCACTGCATCTACACAGACTTCCACAAGGCGTTTGATTCTGTTGATCACACCATTTTGATACACAAACTTCTACTCTACGGCGTTCGTGATCCTTTACTTTCATGGATTCAATCTTATATCAGTCATCGTCTACATTTTGTACAATTAATGAAGTTCAAGTCATCTACCTACGAATCAACATCTGGAGTTCCTCAAGGCTCGGTTATAGGACCACTTTTATTTAATATCTTCATTAACGATATCTGCTTGAATTTCAACTCAAATTCCTTACTGTATGCAGATGACTTGAAGTTATATAAGAAGATTGATTCCATGTATGACATAAATACTTTGACAAATGATCTTATATGTCTTAACGATTGGTGTAAACTCAATCATATGTCTCTTAACATTAAAAAATGCAAAGCAATGTGCTTTAGTCGCAAAAGTCGTCCCTCAGTTCCATTGTACCTACTAGAAAATACGCCCTTAGACATAGTTAGCAATGCCAAGGATTTGGGTATCTATTTAGACACTAAATTATCTTTCGTCAGTCACTGTGAATATGTTGTTTCTAGAGGTAGAAAACTTTTGGGGTGTTTAAAGCGGTGGACGGTGAACTTCAGTAACATCAGAACCATTCTGATATTATACTATTCGTTAGTCCGATCGATATTGGAATTCAATTGTGTCAACTGGTCACCGTTTTATATCACTCACATAAGCCGAATTGAAGCTGTCCAAGTCAAACTTTTAAAATATGTCAAATATAAGTTGTGTGGTGATGGTATTGTGTTAGCAGATACAGACCTTGTTGCATCTTATCTGTCAGTACATACACTAGAAAATCGTCGTAAGTATCACAAACTATGTTTTCTTTTTAAATTATTAAATGGTTTAATTGAAGCCCCCATATTGCTAGCGTTGGTAGGTCTTAATGTGTCAATCCGTAAGGTTCGTACGCCTAGGCTGTTTTTTATACCAGTTCATAAAACGAATTATGCATTACATTCGCCTCTAAATAGCGTTTTGATGATTGCTAACGAATGCAACACTTTAGAGTTTTTTGGTATCTCCCTCAACGCCTTCAAGAAAGAATGTCGCAAATTGTTACTATTATGTTAATATGAATTGTTATGTTAATATTTTGTTATGTACTTTATGTAATGCCTTTATATCTTTCGGCGTAATAAAGCACTATAAGAGGATTTTGATGTTTGAAAATTTTGGAGATTTTGGTGTTTTCTGAATTTGAGGATTTTGGCGTTTTGAGGATTTTGATGTTTTGGGAACTTGAAGAGTTTGGTGTTTTGAGGATATGAAGATTTTAATATTTTGTGGATTCTCAGATTTTGGCTTCCTGGATTTGAAGATTTTGGTGTTTTTTTTTGGTGTTTTGATGATTTGAGGATTTTGATGTTTTGAGAACTTTAAGATTTTGGTGTTTTGAGGATATGAGGATTTTAATATTTTGGTGTTTTCTAGATTTGCGGATTTTGGTGTTTTGACAATTTGAGGATTTTAATGTTTTGAGGAGCTGAGGATTTTGGTATTTTGATGATTTGAAAATTTTGGTGTTTTGGTAATCTGAGGATTTTGCTGTTTTGAGATTTTAAGGATTTTGCTGTTTCAGGGATTTGAGAATTTAAGGATTTTGGTATTTTGAAGATTACAGAATTTAGGAGTTTTGAAGATTATGAGCATTTTTTTTCTCTCCCATCCAACTTTTCTCTCTATCTCAGTGTTTCCTCTCCCTCGCTTTATCTTCGAGTTTTCTTTGTGTCCCAAAGTTTTTCTTATCTCTCTCCTCAGTTTCCCTTTCTCTGAATTATTTCTCAAATTTTCCTGCTCTCCCTGTCTACCTCTTCCACTAACTCTCCATTTTCCCAAGTTCTTTCTCTCCCCGAAGATTTCCTCTCTGTTCTTTAAGTTTCTCTTTCCAAGTTCATTCTCACTCTCTCCAATTGTTGTCCTATTTTTCATCAGACAATAAAATATACAAAATCTGATTGAAAACTTTGCAGCCGGTTCAAGAAGAAGAAACAGAACAAACGCGAAGAAAAACGCGAGGATAAAGTAAAACTCGAGAAGCGCCTCTCCACCATGACCGAAGAAGAAGAAGACGACGGCATAACCATTAAGGTGACAGACAGTTCCCTACACATATAACACAACACGAGCACTTAACATTTTACTTCTTGCACGTACGTGTAAGTATGCACTGAGCGTTCACAAAAAGCGCGTCCCTTTTGACAGAGACGATTCGTAGGTACCGAAAAATGTACAGTTAGAGTAGCGTAGAGCACGAATTGTAGCCAAAGTGGAGATATTTAATAAACCAGTGTTTGTTTTTCCCAATTTTATTGTCCCGACTGCATGATTCGTTCGTTTCGTTGTTTGACGTTGTGGCAAGGAAAATGCAACGGACGCTCACAGACGGTGCATTTTTCTTCGTGGTGGACGAGGGGTTTCTAAAAAGGAATAATTTCAGACTAACCTATTACAGTGCGAGCAGGTTAAAGATGTGCCTAGGAAAGAGAGGAGGAAGAGCAGGCAGGACGACGAAACGCACGTGTGAAGCAATAACGCGGTTTGTCGATTCTGAGTGAAATTGTAGTTTTCGGTTTGATTTTTCGTTCGTGAGGAAGTTAATGTTGCCAAATTCTACTTACTTATATTTGTGTATTTTAAGTTCTGTTTGCAAATGAAATGTTTTGGACACAAAATTTCAATCACAAGTGGATGTACATTATTAATAAATGTTGAGTAAGAAGTGTTGATGTTTTATTTACCCTTTTGAAATCATACAAGATTTTTGTTTGTGATTTTTTCATAGTAACTAGTTCCTAAGTATATACAGTATTACGCTAAAAGCATCTAGTCACTGTGTATTTCCAATATTATTTAAATACAAAGACTGTTGAAGTTTTAATTCCAGTTTTTCATCGTGGTTTCTTTTATTTTAAGTTAGGATTTCAGAGGTGCAAAATTGTTGTGTATTTTTAAGGTTAGGTTTAGTTGTATTTTACGTATTGTGGCTAGCGTAACGGTGACGCGTGGATTAACCATCGGAGGTTAATCCACGCATCCAAATTTTTATGAAATATTAAAGGTTGTATACTTATCCACATATTGGCTTTAACTTAACCAATTTCAGAACAGAACGCATTTTAATTTGAAACAATACTACTATAGTCTGGTTACCGAACAGATGGAGTCATCACGTGACTACAAAGTGAGCGTCCAAGATTAAATAATAACATCAAAATTAAATGCATAAAGAACTTGGACGCGATTTTGAAAATATTTTGCCGGTTTATAAATGCATTTCTTCCTGATATTATTATCAATTTATAACAAGCTTTGACATTTTAAACTAGTAAAGTCACAGGTATTAGAATGTAAAAATGACAAGTTTTAGAGTAAACTAATGGACGATTTGAGATACAAGGCCAACTTAAGGTGATTTTATGTCAAACACGCCCTGAATACGGTACAAGATTATATTACAATTTTGTAGGTTTCCTTACGTAAGAACTGGAGAAATTAATTATTGAGTGACACAGAGTAAAATTAGAAATTGTTACAATACGACGAAGGTATTAGTACACAGAATCCATCACACTTGTCATAAAAAAATAAAAACCAACACCTAAATTTCATTATTATGCAAAATATTGGTGCGACGAGACTTTTCGTGATTTTTAGGCAGCAAAGTGATTGCAGATCGAAAAGTAGTCACTTTGATGTCTGAAAACAGTTCAATAAACTAATCGTTTACAACCCGCCCGCCCCTTTCTCAATTGTGCCGAATTTTTCATTTGTTGTCTGATCAAGGGGCGGGGTTTAATTGCAAAATTCATATTTGTTTGATTGTTTAAAAAGAGATTTACAAATATCGGGGGGGGGGGGGGGGGGGGCGAGTTTTTTTTCTAAGAAGACTACGAAAGAATCTTGGGGCCCACAAGATGATTACACACAATTTTCGGCCCCACAAGTCTCAATTTAAATGATTGTGACACAATGTCGACAACGACGAATTTTTATTTTAAAATAAAGGCACCCCCATGTTTTAAGCCAAGCGTTGTTGAAATAAAACTACGTATATATTAAGAAAAATAAATCATTGATTAATTGAGCCCTACCCACCCGCCCCTTTCTCAATTGTGACGAATTTTTCATTTGTTGTCTGATCGAAGGGTGGAGCTCAATTGCAAAATTCATACTTCTGGTTCTTTAAAAAAATGACTAAAGAATCTCGGGAGTTCCGAATTACTTTTTTAAGACGATTATTAAAGAATCTCTGGGACCACAAGTATCTATTTTAAATGATGATGACACAATCTTGAGGACCACGAATTTTTATTTTAAAATAAATATTATGACACAATTTCCGACACCACCATATTTTATGTATCGCGTTTAGAATGAAAATTACATATAAATTAAAATAAAAAACCAATGATTAATTAAGCTCCACCCACCCGCCCCTTTCTCAATTGTAACGAATTTTTAATTTGTTGCCTGATCGAGGGGCGGAGCTCAATTGCAAAATTCATTCATTTGATTCTTTAAAAAGATTACTGAAGATTCTCGGGAGTCCCGAATGACTTTTTTAAGAAGATTATTAAGGAATCTCTGGACCACAGGTATCTATTTTAAATGATGATGACACAATCTTGAGGGCCACGAATTTTTATTTTAAAATAGGAGTATATAAGACAATTTCCGACACCACAATAATTTATGTATCGCGTTTTGAAAGGAAATTACATATAAATTAAAATAAAAAACCAATGATTAATTAAGCCCCACCCACCCGCCCCTCTCTCAATTGTGACGAATTTTTCATTGGTCGCCTGATCGAGGGGCGAAATTTAAGTGCAAAATTCACAGGGTCCGGAGTCTCTTTTCTAAGAAGATCATGAGAGAATCTCGGGGGCCACATGTGTCTATTTTAAATGATTACACACAATTTCCGACGCCGCAAGTATCAATTTAAATGATTATGACACAATCATGTAGGACAGAAATCCCTATTTTAAATTACTGACACAATTTCGAACGCCCCTATGTTTTAAACAACGCGTCGTTAGAAGAAAACTACATATAATTAAGAAAAAACCAACGATTAATTAAACCCCACCCACCCGCCCCTTTCTCAATTGTGACGAATTTTTCATTTGTTGTCTGATCGAAGGGCGAAGCTCAATTGCAAAATTCATTCATTTGATTCTTTAAAAAGATGAGTGAAGAATCTCGAGAGTCCCGAATGAGTTTTTTAAGAAGATTATTAATAATAATAATGTCTTTATTGCCCAACAGTGTAAAATACACCAATTACAGGTACAACTTAAAAGAACAATTGTATGTAAAAAAAAGAACTAAATAAAAAGAAAAATAAACTATGAAACGATAGATAGATTAGTGGCTAAACTAATACTAAATTAATACAAAAATTAATGAATACTACTAAATATTACCTACATTTTCAAAAAAAAAAATCTTTCAACACATTTTTTAAACGTTGAATATCTCAAATGAAATATGTCAATATCATTACAAACTTCATTATATAATGATGACATCAGGTATAGCGGCGATCTAACAATCATATTTGTCCTGGGGATATTGTAGGTGAAAGTTGAATGATGTCTGGCATAAATTCGTGGGACCAAAAAGTTCAGTTTTTCAAGCATTTGAGGTATATCCAATTGGGAGTGAAGTAATTTATATAATAGAAGTAGAACATTAGTTTGACGCTTTACTAAAACAGGGATAAACTTAACTAGGAGAAGATCGTGGTTATATCCTCTGGGGGGATAAACTTTATGAGATTTTAAGAATACTTAAGTATTTTAGCAATTTACGTTGGATGTTTTCAATTATGACATTGTAGGTTTGATATATAGAATACCACACAATGGAAGCATATTCAAGCTTGCTCAAAATAAGTGTTCTGTACAAGGCTACGAGGCAGTCAGTATTATAGAAAGATTTACTATTACGTATAATAAAACCCAGCGTCCGATTACAGGATGAAATAATATTAAAATAATGTTGATCAAATCGAAAAGCCTTATCAAAGTATATACCTAAGTCTTTAACTGTGTTATATCGCGGAAGTATGTTTTGATCTATTTTATAATCATAAGTAATAATGTTCTTTTTTCGAGTAAATGAAATAATTTTGCATTTAGGAAGGCTCAATTTAAATTTATTGCTGATGCACCACTCATAGAGCCTGGTTAAGTTTTTTTGAAGAAAGATAGCATCTGCTAATGAGTTAATATTATGAAATATTTTCGCGTCATCTGCAAATAACAAAATTGAACAGTGTATGCTGGAAGGTAGATCATTTATGTATAAATTAAAGAGAAGTGGCCCTAATATAGATCCTTGAGGAACTCCTGAGCTAGCAATAAAAGAATAAGATACAAAGTTGCTATACTGCACAAATTGTGTACGGAGTGTAAGATAGGATCAAAAAAGGTTTAATAATTTACAAGTGAAACCAAAATTTACAAGTTTTTTAAGAAGAATATTGTGGTCAATACGATCAAATGCCTTTGTAAAATCCGTATAGATGACATCGACTTGTGATTGATTTTCCAAACTTTCAGATACAAATTGTGAGAACATTATGAGGTTTGTTGTTGTTGATCTATAATTTAAAAAACCATGCTGATACTTTGATATATAATTTTTCACTTCGGGGTAGATATGGGAATATAGAATTAATTCAAAAATTTTAGCAAAATTAGAAAGCAGGGAGATTGGTCTATAATTTTCAATTTTGGATGCATCACCGGACTTCAAGACAGGACAGATCTTAGATTCTTTCCATTTATTAGGAAAAACCCCTGTTTCAAGGGATTTATTAAAAATTAGTAGGAGTGGCTTAGCAATTTGAAACTTACAGTCCTTAATTATGAAACTTGGAATCTGATCTGAACCTCATGTCATACCTGGTTTCAATCTTGTGATGGCTTTTATTATATCATCTTCCGTGATCTTAAATATTTTTACAACACATGAGGTAGAATTTACAGTATCAGCTAAATAATATTCATCAAGCGGATCAGATTCAGTATAGGTGGATCTAAAGAAATCACTAAAGGCATTTACTATTTCCATAAGATTTTCAAACTTGTTTATACCAAATGACATTTGGCCTAGAATTCTAGTTTTACCTTTTTTAGCATTAATGTAACCCCAGAATTGCTTAGGATCATGATATATGTTAATTTGAATGTTGTTAATATACAATTTATAAGCAGTATTTATTTGCTTCTTTAAAAGGGACCTAATTTCTTTAAATTTCAGTAGGTAAAAATGTAGACCTGAAGCTCTGTATTTCTTAAGGCATCGGAATTTAAATTTAATATTGTTTATTATTTCCCTATTGAACCATGGCGGGTAATGCCGCTTTTTTGACCGAAAGACAGGTACATGTTTACGGAATAAATTGAACAGGATATTATAAAAACAATCAACCATCAGATCTACAGAAGAAAGAGTTGATAACAATGACCAATGAGTTAATAGGATATCATTGTAAAGAGAGATGAAGTCAGCTTTACGAAAGTTGAAGGCACTTATATTATGGTTATCATTACCATGGCGTGGAAAATTAATCGGTTTATCAACTGAGAAGGTGCAAACTAAAGATAGTGCTGGGTGATCTTGTCTTCTATTACCATTGGATTATCAAAGTGGCTAACTTCCCATTGAATATTCGAAAATGCTAAATCTAACAAT